GTTTTGTAAGATTTTTAGACAAAAGAAGGTGAAAAAGGTAAAGGACCATTCATCTAAGTCCTATACATCCAGTCGCGGTCAATGATCGATGCAAATTTGCCTCCTAAATACCTCAGCACGTCAAATACAGTTATTTAGGAGGCGAATGTAAGCGTATCGAATCTCGGCGAGGTTTCGTCCAGTTTCTTACTCTCTTACCTTGTCGACGTCTTCCTCCACCGTAAAAGTGCTGGACGTGAGAACGGTGCCCCTCGTGGTTAAGCACCGGATCGCCGGATTTCGGCTTCTCGCGAAGGCCAGTGCCGCCTTGGCACTCTCGGCAACCTGCGCCACGTACTCGGGATTTAGAGTCGCTTTCGACGCTGGAGGACAATCTCTCGCATCGGCGCCTCGAGCTAGACCTTCGAGTTCGTTTAGTACTGCAACAAAAAAGAATATTTCCACTCGTTGAGCACGTGCGAAAGAACCGTGTCGAAATTTGCGTCGCGTGCGCGGGAGAGTACAAAGGAATCAAGATTAATCACCATTGAATTGATGAAAAAATAAGCGTGAATCTTAAAAATTTAATTCTTATAGAAGAGAAGAAAAGGAATTCCGCATCGAAAAAGTTTATTATTATAAGGCATGTAATTATGATTCGTGAAAATACAGCTCAATTATAATGCTTTAATATTATACGTATAAGAAGATAAACTTTACATTTATATATAAAAAAAATAGCAAGAACTTTAGAAAATTTACGATATAGAAATAATAAGCATATATTGTGAATGAGTCCTTCTCCCAATTTCATTCGTATAATTTATCGATGATCTAAACGCAGACATCGAGAATGATTCATTCAAAAGATTCTCTCCTCGAAATTCTTTACACAATTATACGAATACAAATAAAACTCAAATTAATCCCTCCCTCTTAAATATCAAAATCCAAAGATTTAAAAGAAAATTCATGTCTGTGACCATCACTAAGCGACATGTTCACTCGATGGGATCGATCTCGTCTTTCGTGGCCGAGATTGAGGAAAACGGGATGGTGATGTGCTGTTAAGGCAAAGGGCCATCACAGCCGCGTTCAAAAGCCACTCGCCCCGACGATCGGCGACCGCCGTATACCCGATATCGCCCACACGTACCGATCGTAGCCAGAAGGCAGCCCGCGGTACGCCGCGCCGCTGCCATCCAGCCCCATCGCGAGCATTTCGAGCCGTATACATGCATTCATGTATGAGCCGTGAGAACCTAACTGTGAACGCTCACCGTTGCTCGCCATCCGAGAGCCAGACGGGCCCCTGGTCGGCCGACTGGCCGGCGAGGTCAAAGGGCAGCACGTCGGCCGATTTTGCATGAAGGCGCACTTTCGTTTTTCGACCCCACGACCCGCACGAACGACAAAAAGGAAAGGGAGAAACGCGCGGAGCGAACACGTAACAAGACTGAAGAGAAAATTAATTTTTATTACAAAATAATGGCGCGATCTAATTATACTCAAACTTTTGTTGTTATTTTATTAACATATTCGTAAACCAAAAAATTCCTTTTTCTTAATTGGCAATTTTGATATTTAACTAATTTATTGCCTTCTTAAGAAACCAAATTTGGTCGACTAATAATTTGTAAATTTACAGAATCTTTAGAATAAGATAAAATTTTTAAAAAAATTTAAATTTCTATTGGAAAAATAATATGATAAATTCAGAGTTCAATTTCATTTCATTTCACAGCTCATTTGTCATTTTTTCAATTTTCTTTTATTTTCTCTGTACATATGCATTATTTCAGGAAAGGAGGAAGGGGAGGAAGAGAAGGAGATTATCATGAATGCTACGAGAGAGCTTTATCGACTTTATTCGCCACAGATTGCCGCGGGAGCGCGCACAGAGAAGCAATCTACGGAAAATGCAAATAGGAGATTCGCCAAACTTTCTCCGACTCGATAAATTAACCGGCTGCCACCCTCCTCCTTCCAGACACGACCCCCGAATGAACTGGCAAGGGCGGTCGGTAGTGGATGAAGTTTGCGAGACAGGAGGGAGCGGAAATAGAAAGAATAACTGCAGGGCGAGAGAATAGGGGAAACTGCATTATTTATCACCTAGGTTTGCAGACGTCATTTATCACTGCGCGATAAATATTCTGCTGTTGAAATATCGACATGAGCAATATAATCAATCTTTAAATTATACGCGATTAAACGTTCAACTAAAATATATTAAAATTACTGCTCTATATACGGCGAATACAATTTTAAAGACGAATCATATTTTTCTGAATTTTTCGCAATCCATTTTCACAACATTATTAAAATACTTTATTTCAATGAACTATTTCTTAGATATTCATCACCTCTTAAAGTTCGTCTTTCTATGTATTGATTAGTTTATCCGACTGCTCCACTTTCTTATAATTTTTTTTGTTTACTTTCAAACGAGATTTTTCAAAAGTAACGCAGTTAAAAAGCCTAACAAATGAGAGAGGCCGTGACTAATCAATAATAATCGTGATTATACCCATCAAAATCCTCGAGACGTTTGTCCTTGCCCTATCGCAACGACCTCGCCTAACAAACATTTCGGCATTCGAAACTCTTCCGCGGAAAGGATCGGCGGTGAATCCATGACAAAATAGAACGGGTAGTGACGTAAGCTTCCGCAAAACGCCGTGTCCAGATTGGCACCGTGAATCGATTTTGCTGAATCAACGATTAGATCAGCGTTAATTGGCAATAGGGACGATGATTGATGAGCCTTTCGATTTTTAGCGGCCTTGAACCTTAACACCCAATCTTGTCTTCGATTGAATGCTAAAGCAAGTGTGTCGCGTAACTTTCACAATTATTTCGAGAAGCATTGTCATCCGATATTAAAAAAAAACATATATTTCTCTAATATACAGTTATACATTGAAATCTTGTGTCGGCTTATATTGATAATTTCTCTTCTTACTATTTGATTTATTTCATATTGAGCCTTATACTTTCTAATTTAACAAATATTGCTTTTTACACTATTGCTATAACGTGATGTTTTATATAATATATAGTAAATTAAATTATTATAACTTTGCTGGAAAATATCTGTCTACGTCTAAATACCGAATATACCTGCAAATGCGATTGCGCGTTCTAAGATAAGTGTTCGCAAAATAAATACATCGCAGATCAGAGGCTCGAGTAGTTAAGATATACGCGCTCGAGGCAATAAATGCTCCGAATGTCCGTCTTGTCGTCATAGCCGTAACTCCAGACGCATTACTCTAAAGCACCGTGAAAATGTCAGTCGCGCCGTGGAAGATTGTAAATTTATCGCTGATTGCGTTTCGCTGAGCAACGAGTGTCTATAAACCGCGACTATTAAAAAAGAAAGAACCGGTCGTTCCGACGGTGCCATGCGTCACCGTTGTTGTCATCATCATCGACCGTTTGACAGAAACGAGCATCCTCGTACGCATTGTCGTATTGTATAAAAAGCACGTCGATCGGAGTGTGACGTGCGATTTGATGATTCTATCGTCGGAATAACCTTCTATTCAACAATTCCAATTAAGTCGAATTCTTGTAAAAAAAAAAAAAAAAGAAATATTTATTTATAAGAGAGATAATTATCTTTAAGAAGTGTAATTACATATAATTATATTAAAAAAATATATAATAATTGAATTTTGAATTGAATTTTAATCGAATTAATCGAAGCTGAACTTAACGGGATTTCTGCTAATTAATTTAGAATTATACCTCTCCAGTAGCTATTTGTTATTCTTTACGATATACGGTAGTATAGTTACCGCTATCTCCCATCCACCCCACAGTAATGCATCGAATAATGTACGTCGAATAATAATTAATATGAGAGAATAATAATTAAAAGATTCTAATAACGTAACCTATTATGTCAGTTGAGTGTCATAAGATTTAAATTGAGCATCACGAACAACTTGTGTTGCGTATCAAAGTTCCGCGTCATTACATTCTTTATGAGTACAGACTCCAGCCTCCATTTCCTCAATAAAAATTTGATTGAAAGCCATCATCAATTTTACAATGGTTTTTCTTTCAACGTCAAATAGTCCGATAATTAAATATGTCGCGCATTAAAATTCCGTTAATTCTAAAATGAGCAATAATTCTGCCCGCGAAATGTACGTTTAGCTCGTAAAGTCCAGCTTGTGTGAGAAAATTCAAAATTTATATAAATTACATATTTATTGTAGACATAACATAGAGTAGCACGGGTACTGTTATATCTCCATAGCGGAACGCAATGAAGACATAACACGGCTCTATAAATCGGTATGTCGCGGAGAGTGCTACGGATTTAACTGCTTCGAGAGCCGCGACGATGACTCGGGACCGTGATTTCGTTCGGGTCGTATCTCTCGATGTGGGACCGTTAAAGGAAACGCACTCCCGACAATGCGCCGCGACTGATCGACGGCGGTGGAAGAGGAATTGCTCAACGCTAATTGGAGCGGAGGAATCGACGGCGGGTTCGCATTCCTCGGTGTCATCATCCTCCGGCCGGCGTCGGAGAACCGGGAGCTGACGCAAGCGCCGTTAATGGCCGTATCGGTCGGAGTTCGATCCGGCGGCTCCCGCGATCGGGACAAAGCGTTTCGCGCCGCGGGTACCTATATAGGACAATCCATTCTCACGAGAACGAGGGGACGAGGGAGCTCTCCCCCCACCCCTGCGACAAGTGACGCGTAATGACGTTGACCTAATGAACTATTCTCCGCTAGGGATCGACGAATCGACGATCGTACGTGGACGGTGCTGCAGCTTCGCTTAACGTTCGGAGACAAGGCGAATCCGAGTGTGTTTGCGCACCGACGCGATTGCTTTGACCCGAGGCGCGACCTCCGACTGGTCGCGTCATTTCTCTTCGATGACATTATCTAGACACAACCCCCTGAGAAGGTGTGTTCGGCCATTGTACAGTTTTTAGATATTTCATAGATACGTTCGATGCGCCAATAGCTGATTAAAGTATTATAATAAGTAATAACCGATTTAATTGTTGCGCACACAGTGTAATTCTGATTTTAAAAAGACATAGATCACTTGAGATAACCTGTATGTATAGAGACAAGAGATCTATTAAAATTTCCGAAGATTTTATATTCAATGAATATAATCGTTTCGTAATCGTTTCGTTGCCGCACGTTCTCAATCTTCGAGAGATAAAGAAGTTTTATGAGAGTAAATGGATGCGGCGACGAGATAAAGCAACAAGTTTACGATATTTGACAAAAATCGAGATTCTCTTCTATTTTGTTTATCCGCTATGGGTGAATGACGTTACAAAGGCTTTCTTGTCGTTTATTGATTATTTCACGCGCTTTTAAAAAGAGGAGAAAGAGTATTAATCTGAATCATATTACTGTAGCACATCCATCTTCTTTCGAGATAATCGACGACCTCCAGTCAAAAAATGATGGACGAGGGTGCCAAGTGGCGCACGTGTCTCTCGTCGATCCTTTTTCCGCGCTAAATAATATGCTAAACTTTTGTTTTCACTTACCGACGAGTGGCACCATGAGTGTGTAGATTGGCTGCGCGCCGGAAGTGGCTCTCGCGATGATCTGCAATTGCTGCAGGTAGTCGATGAAGCAGTTAGTGTCTAGCACCAGCTGTCTCGGTCTAACCTCGATTTCTACCGATACCGAGGACTTTTGTAAGATTGCCTAAACATACCAAATATATACACACACATATATAAATTTCAGTAATAAAAATATAAATGAATTATAAAATTTTAATAAGACCTAAATATCGCTTCCTTTTTTAAAATAGTCAAATATATGGAAAGGAGACATTCTTAAAAAGAAAAATATGTCAAGTATCACTCTGACGATAAAAATTAAAGTAAGTTAATGATATTACAGAGGCATATATTTAAAATGCTAATTAAAGACATTATGACTATAATTAAAGGGGACGACATTGGCGACGATTGAATTTCTCTTTCAATCGCGAATTTCATCTCAATTTTCTGTTATTGTATATAATGAAAATCAAATCTTTTTAAAATCAATAGCCAAGCAAATTTCATAGTTGAGTAATCGTCTCAATCTGCATCCATCTTCGTGATTCTCCTCCTCGTCGGAGAGAAACGTGCCGCATCTCCATGCGCATTACATGCGCACCTTCCACCGGAGAGAGAAACAAAAAGAGAAAGAGAGAGAGAGAAACAGGCGCGTGTGCGTGCAGCGCAAGATGCAGCGGAAGACGCATTATCTTCCAATTGAATCCCACATATGCGGATGGTGCTTCGCGAGAGAGGCAGTGGCGCGCACCGAACAATATCGGCTCGGCGGTATAACGTGAATGCCAAGTAGCCATTGTCATAATGTCGTAACAGAAGCTACGGACTATAATGAGGCCTCTAATATTGTATCGATGATCGATACATATCATTGACCGCAAGCTCATTTATTAAAAAGAAAAAGAAGAACACGAGAATTATCTTCGGTAATAAAAGAGCTAGTTTTAAAAGATATTTGAGCCGCTTCGTTAAAATTCAGCAACGTATTCAGTACATGTGTTATCTCCGTTCATTAACATATTCTCAGCGGCGATTTAAGGTGTTTACCGCTGTCTACGATTTTCAAGTGGAATAATATATGCAAAAGTAGCTGTTGAATACATTAGAGTCGTAAAGCTCTTCTCTCACTTTCTATTTTTCGACATTCTTCATGTAATCATTATTTAAAAGCAATTTGCTAACTAAATAAGCATTGAGAACGCAATAATACATAATCTAAAATATATAAGAGAAGAGAGATACTGAAGAGATATCGATTCGTCGAATCATTCATCCGTTATTGTAAGCCAGAATTTTAAAACACGTCCTCTACACAATTTTTTTCCGCCAAGTATAAATTTCATGAATATAACATTTAAAAACAAAAATGTGTTTCTTTCAATGAATAATTTTTAAATAAATTAAAAGAAATAATACAAACACACAGACACGTTCTCTCTCTTTTCCCTTTTTCTTGCCCGACACCAAACATTTCTTTAAATCCTTAGAAAGACTAAGAGGCCTCTTAAAATGATCCTGCAGTAGTCGGCGCGAATACATCCGCAACGGTATCTCGAGAATTATTCAATTTCGAGAGTCTCTAGGATATGGTTTCACACTAATGTCCGTGCGATGGCACGTCGCACGAGCGTCGGCGAAAAGCATGCGGGGAATCCGAAGACGAACCTAATTGCTTGCGGGGGTACGTGGACGGAATGCAAAACTAGGAGAGACCGTGCACACGCGACGTCGCCATACGAAGCCACGTCGAGCCGCACCACGCCAGTGGTGCAAATGTCATACACGTGTCGACGAGATTTCGATCTCTATTCTCGTCCTGCTGACACGTTACTCGCGGCAGTTCCCGTTCCGCAAAGGGTTAATAAATAGCCGGCGGAATTCGCCCGCGTTCGCTTTTTGACAAAGCTCGTGTGACGTGGGCACGGTGGGGTAACGAATTCGAAATTAAGTTATTATACCTAGTCGCTCTCTCGACGCTACAGGTGTACAGCCTTCTAAGAATTCGTTCCGAATTTAATATGCATATATCAAGTCGGGGAGGGAGCCCAGACGTTCCAGAAAAATATAGCTCTCGAAAACAAAAATGAGTCGACGTGCACAAAAAATGATCGCGCGGGAAAAAAGAATTCATCACGGATGTAAAGCATCCAAGATTTTTTTTACTCAAGACCGCTAATTTACGAGGCGTTACCTCGTCGTTGCATCATCGTGAGGCGAACGGCGTGCCGCCGCCGCGCTCGTGTGCGTTCTTTTCGAATTCAATGCTTCCATCCCAACGTGCCTGCCTCATTATGGCGCGCCGTGCGTGCGACAGCGACATAAAAAGGAATTTACTCCCGTTTAAAGTATTCGTGAATTCCTAAACGATGTGGCGTGTACCGTTGCGCATTCCCGCAAAACGTATAGCCGCCACCTCGCCGCGTCTTCCTCTTTCACTCTTCTTCCTCCGTCCGCGCGCTCGCAGGTTTCTCTCTCGTCACCTTTTTTTTTTCTCTCTGTGGGCCCGCTCGCACCTCGCGCCTCGCACCTCGGCCGACAGAGCCCCGGCCTGGCTCGTGAGAACCCTCGTTGAATCACGCATCGCGGCCCCTACGCCCGCGCGCATATTAAGCGCACACCGACACGGGCCTTCACACGGTCGAGCAGGCCCGCGCCCCGTAACAACATTGTAAATGCGCAACACTCGCGGAAACGTACCTGGTAAACCGTCGGGGACAGGTTCGCAGGTTCGTCCGGCGTCCGGCCGAGCTGTACGAACGTGCTCGCGCCGCGCGTGCTCGCGACGCGCTCGAACGCGGAATAACGCTTTTCTGACAAGTGGAAAAGGAAGACGAAGTCATCGATTAGACATTCATTTCCTTCTCGAATTGACAGGTATCGTCCGGATTATTCCGAGAATCGTTAACAAACGATCTTTCTTTAAGATGAAACTGTTAGATATAATATGTCTCTCTCATTACGTTATTATTCGAAATTATCTAAATAAATAATACATATATTCTAATAAAATTCTGTGGATCTAATATACAATGCTGTATTAGGATGATGCAAACCTTCGGATGTTCATTCAGCGAATTAAATTCGTATAGAATCTTGGCGAAAACTTATCAGTCTTCCGTATAATGGGTTTTACGATAAAGGGACTCTATTTCTGATCAAGTACTGAATTGATAAAACGAGCACGAAAAGACAGTGAAATATCAGATTCGGATAGGAGCTACATACATACATTTTCTTAAAGTTATACCTCTGAATAATATATCGTCGACCGGCAAAGTTCGTTCAATAGATATCAACGTTCGCGATCCTGATTCCTGATATAACATCGCGTATACGAGCAAATTGAGTACACGTACAAGTTGAGTACGGTACTTGAGAAAGAGGAGAAATAGAATCAAATCCATTATACAATCCTAGCGCTATGTGAGGAATATACCTATATATATATATATATATATAGGTATATTCCTCACATAGCGCTAGGATTGTATAATGTGTATAATTTATTCATGATAACTAATCTTTTTATATATATATATATATATATATATATATATATAAAAAGATTAGTTATCATGAATAAATTATACACATTATACGATAACGAGTACTTAATAAGTCATTTATGGTAGTTATAATAACCTGGTAATTCTCCTTGTAATTATAATAACTTAATTTGCGCATAGAAAAAGCGGTGGAGTAAGAAACGCGCAAAGATTAAAAAGTCATTTCTTGATAGCGATGCCATAATGATAATAATAATAAAAGCGGAAAAGGGGCGGAGGGGAAATATCTGCGAGAGATGAGAAATCCATATCTACCATAAGCCACGAAAGTCATTCCTGATAAAACAAGTCGGGCCATTACGTATGTACGTCGCATGCCCATCGGGCGTATATATGTTCCCATAAATCAGGCAAAATACCCAGTCTCACCGGCCGCGAACGGTCGGCGTGTATCTGCTGCTCCATAATCGTTACATCTGTTACATCGTAATCGTTATCATTTCAATTATCCACGGAGCCGACCGCGGCCGAGAGAGGGAGAAGGAGAGACGGCGAGCAGCGGGAGGAAGATCGCCGTGTCGACTCGCGCACACGCAGGTGCAGGCGCGGACGTGCGCGCTCGCGGGGTCTTGGCCGGTAACTGCTCCGCATAATTCTCGCGTTACACCGAGGGTTAAGACGTTTTCCCATAAGGGAGGCGGCACGCCGATGGCCGCGGTGATTTTTATTGACTCCGGGCTCGGACGTTATCCGCCGTGGTTGGAGCCGCGCGAGAGCAACGCGCGCGCGCTCGCGTCAACGAGCGCCGAGAGAGAGAGAGAGAGAAAGCCGGGCAAAGAGGAATCCAAAGTGCCGCGGTAAATCGCGAACGATACGATCTAAACCGCCCATTCTGCCCGCGTATACGATTTCGCGAGAGTATCCCGGGCTCCTGCCCGCGAGTTATGGATTCGTCGTCGATAACGCGCGTATATGAATATCTCGCTCGGGTTTTGGATCTACGAGCGCGCGTGTATGCGCGACGCGCACGCGCGCGTCTCTCCGAGGCCGATAATTTCCTTTCCTCGATCCCGATAATTAAACTTCTTCCGTATACCCTGTAATAAACGCTAATTCACTACACCGAGTCTCATTTGCATGGAAAACTCGTTACGCGTACACCACCGGCAATCGCCGTGAAATAGATAGCGAGTAGACGCTCAAGTTTTCCGGAATCTCTCTCGGCGAGAGAATCCGTGAAAATCGCTCGCACGTACGCTCGCCGGACCGCCATTGAGGCGGGCGACAAAAAAAAACTGGCGAATCAAAAGGAATAGGCGATGGAAGATGTAAAAATTAAAATGGGACTCGAAAGCGAAAGTTCTGTCGGCGGTATCGCGCGGCGAAGAGAAACAGGGAGAGATTATAACTCTATCCTGATTTTATTGGCCGCTTTACCCCGACGGAATTAACGTGAGCCGAGTTACACGGGCAATATATTACGGGGAATCGCATTTATAAATGAAACCAACGGTGGCGGTCCGCGACCCCGCCATGCGTCCGTAATAGCGCTTCCAAATCGGATTGCTTTACCCCTTCGTGGCCACCATAAACCACTTCCACGTATAAGAATCGTCCGCGACAGCGGACCGGT